GAACTTGATTAGCAAAAATGGTCAAAACACATTCAACCTTTATCTTGCAGTTTAAACAAAGGATATGACTAATCAAATTAGGATTTATAATGACACAATTAAGGATGGGATTCAGCCATCACTTACTATTGTTATTACTTTATGTCATTAGCATTGTGTGGAAAGGAATGTCAGCATGTGAGCTTTTCATTTTCATCTATCAAAATGGACTCATGGTTGCATTTGTAAAAGGCACTTTTCAGCTGTGGTTTCACTTCCTTTCGTGTGCGCGTGAGTGTATGTGTGTGTGTGTTTGTTTGTGCATGTGTGTGCGTGAGTGAGAGAGAGAGATTTCGAGCCACAGAGGCTCCTCAGCAGATGGACAGAGCAGAAAGGGGGGGCATAAGGATGTACAGTACGTCACTGGGTGCCTTGATCCCCTCCTGCTATAGAACCTTGATCCCTTCCTGCTATAGAACCTTGATCCCTTCCTGCTATAGAACTTTGATCCCTTCCTGCTATAGAACGGTCCCCTCCTGCTATAGAACCTTGATCCCTTCCTGCTATAGAACCTTGACACCCTCCTGCTATAGAACCTTGAACCCCTCCTGTTATAGAACCTTGACTTCCTCCTGCTATAGAACCTTAATCCCTCCTGCTATAGAACCTTGAAACCATCCTGTTATAGAACCTTGATACCCTCAAGCTATGGAACCTTGATCCCTTCCTGTTATAGAACCTTGAACCCCTCCTGCTATAGAACCTTGAACCCCTCCTGTTATAGAACCTAGATCCCCTCCTGCTATAGATCCTTGACCCCCTCCTGTTATAGAACCTTGAGCCCCTCCTGTTATAGAACCTTGACTATAGAACCTTGATCCCCTTATGTTATAGAACCTTGACCCCCTCCTGTTATAGAACCTTGAGCCCCTCCTGCCCCCAGAATATGATTCTAGGGGATGACAGATAAAAGTCACCTACACATAATGCTCCCTGATAGACACACACATTTATCTTTATTGGGACCTATACAGATGTATTTCCTGGACACCTTAGTGTGTAAACCCTCTGGAGGGATGTAGCCTACACTCAGCTGACGGCTGAACCCCAATGCTGGGAAAAGGCCTATGCAAAGGGACACAATAGCTTTCTCTACTTATCTTACCTTACATTCATTAAGTAGTGATCAACTTCAATCCTACCCTCAACCTTTTGAAGTCAAACATGGCAAAACTGGCTTGTGTAAGACTACTTCATTTGTGGTACCCAGATATTATCCAATGAAACGCTTTCTAGAGGGAAACAATGTGGATTATAGTTGTCAGGATTAACTTGATGATGCTCCAGTATGTCAATAAGAAGTTTTGTGACGGAGATTAGATGAGAATGAGATTAGAAGTGTAACCATGGTGATATCAAGGCTCTCCCTCTCTCTGTAGATGGCTATAGTGTCAAGGTCGAGGTAAGGAGTAGACCAAGGCGCAGCGTGATGAACAAACATGACTTTAATTAGTTAAAGCACGAAACAAAACAAGAAACGACTCGTGACGTCCACGGTATCAATGACCGAACACGGAACAAAAACCCACAACCACAAAGGGAAAACATACAGTTTAAATATGGCTCCCAATCAGAGACAACCAGCCAACAGCTGACACTCGTTGCCTCTGATTGGGAGTCACTCAGGCAAACATAGAATACAACAAACTAGAATGAACACCAACATAGAAATACACACATAGAAATGTACACACCCTGGCTCAACATAATGAGTCCCAGAGCCAGGGTGTGACAGTACCCCACCCTAAAGGCGCGGACTGCGACCGCGCCTCAACTAAACAAACCAGGGGAGGGCTGGGCGGGCATACCTCCTCGGCGGCGGTTCTGGCTCCGGCCTTGACCACCACCCTCCAATACACCCCCCATAGTGCCCCTGGTCCAGTCTGGCCCCGCCGGCTGGAGCAGGACTGGACTTAACAGGAGCGATCCTTACCAGGCTGTCGACTCGCACCCCTGGCTTGGTGCGTGGAGGAGGAACGGGCCTTACCAGGCTGACGACTCGAACCCCTGGCTTTGTGCGTGGAGGAGGAACGGGCCTTACCAGGCTGACGACTCGCACCCCTGGCTTGGTGCGTGGAAGAGGAACGGGCCTTACCAGGCTGACTTCTCGCACCCCTGGCTTAGTGCGAGTGGCAGGAACAGGCCGGACCGGGCTGGGGACGCGCACCGTAGGCTTTGTGCGTGGAGGAGGAACGGGCCTTACCAGGCTGACGACTCGCACCCCTGGCTTGGTGCGTGGAAGAGGAACGGGCCTTACCAGGCTGACTTCTCGCACCCCTGGCTTAGTGCGAGTGGCAGGAACAGGCCGGACCCGGCTGGCGACGCGCACCGTAGGTTTAGTGCGTGGAGCAGGGACAGGCCGGGCTGGGCTGTCGACGCACACCGTAGGCTTGGTGCGTGGAGCAGGGACAGGCCGGGGTGGGCTGTCGACGCACACCGTAGGCTTGGTGCGTGGAGCAGGGACAGGCCGGGCTGGGCTGTCGACGCACACCGTAGGCTTGGTGCGTGGAGCAGGGACAGGCCGGACTGGGCTGGCGACGCACACCGTGGGCTTGGTGCGTGGAGCAGGGACAGGCCGGGCTGGGCTGTCAACGCACACCGTAGGCTTGGTGCGTGGAGCAGGGACAGGCCGGACTGGGCTGGCGACGCACACCGTAGGCTTGGTGCGTGGAGCAGGGACAGGTCGAACCGGGCTGTGGAGACGGATAGGAGGCCTGGAGTGAAGAGCGGCCACCACCCGTCCTGGCTGAATGCCTACCCTCACACACTCTGTGTGAGGCATCCGCACAGGACGTACAGGGCGGTGTACCCCTGGCCTGGTGGCCTTCTGGATCCGCCCCCTTTTCTCCTCCGTCAGCCCCGTCGTCAATGCCGTGTGCCCCCCCCCTAAAAGATTTCTGGGGTTGCCTCACGACCGTCCGACGACGACCCTGATCACGCCGTAGCTCCTCTCTACGGCGCGCCTCCACCGTCTCTTCTCCCGGCGCTTCCTCCCATGTCCAGCCCAAGAGCTGCCCTTGGACACGCTGCTTGGTCGTTGCATGGTGGGTTTTTCTGTCAAGGTCGAGGTAAGGAGTAGACCAAGGCGCAGCGTGATGAACAAACATGACTTTAATTAGTTAAAGCACGAAACAAAACAAGAAACGACTCGTGACGTCCACGGTATCAATGACCGAACACGGAACAAAAACCCACAACCACAAAGGGAAAACATACAGTTTAAATATGGCTCCCAATCAGAGACAACCAGCCAACAGCTGACACTCGTTGCCTCTGATTGGGAGTCACTCAGGCAAACATAGAATACAACAAACTAGAATGAACACCAACATAGAAATACACACATAGAAATGAACACACCCTGGCTCAACATAATGAGTCCCAGAGCCAGGGTGTGACATATAGCTTTAGGAGAGAGGAGAGAGAGGTTTTCTGCAGTGGATTATAGAGACTTGACGATTCACTCTTGTTTCTCTCTGCGTATCCCACACTGGGTTGGAACTTCATAGCCTCAGCTCTCTGTATTTGAAGCAGTCCTCTTGGATCTCACAGTCATACAGAAATCAAAGAAAACCCTTACGGAGAAACCACGTGAATTTCACGTGATCACGTGACATCGTTTGGTTTTTCCATAAAGGAAGTTTAATGCAGTAAGGCACAGGCAGCAGGCGTGTGTTTAGTTAAGTAGCAAGGTTTGTTTTGTGTGTGTGTTTCTCTAAACACACACACACAATAAACAAACATACAGTTGAAGTCGGAAGTTTACATACACTTAGGTTGGTGTCAAAAACTAGTTGTAAAACTAGTTTTTCAACCACTCCACACATTTCTTGTTAACAAACTATAGTTTTGGCAAGTCGGTTAGGACATCTACTTTTACCATGACACAAGTCATTTTTCAAACAATTGTTTACAGTCAGATTATTTAATTTATAATTCACTGTATCACAATTCCAGTGGGTCAGAAGTTTACATACACTAAGTTGACTGTGCCTTTAAACAGCTTGGAAAATTCCACAAAATTATGTCATGGCTTTTGAAGCTTCTGATAGGCTAATTGACATCATTTGAGTCAATTGGAGGTGTACCTGTGGATGTATTTCAAGGCCTACCTTCAACCTCAGTGCCTCTTTGCTTGACATCATGAGAAAATCAAAAGAACTCAGCCAATACCTCAGAAAATAAATTGTAGACCTCCACAAGTCTGGTTCATCCTTGGGAGCAATTTCCAAATGCCTGAATAAATAATTCTCTCTACTATTATTCTGACATTTCACATTCTTAAAATAAAGTGGTGATCCTAACTGACCTAAGACAGGGCATTTTTACTAGGATTAAATGTCAGGAATTGTGAAAAACGGAGTTTAAATGTATTTGGCTATGGTGTAGGTAAACTTCCGACTTCAACTGTATGTTGACACACACAGGTGCTTACAAACGCACACGGCCACATGCCAGGGGCACCTTACGTATTCGCTGTCTTATAATTTCTGCCATATTCGTTTCATATTTATCCATGCAAACATTACTTTGACTCCTGAAGAGAATGGAGTCCAAAGGGATTTGATCTCCCCAAATCAGCATGCTCTCCCTAATCTAACTATTCAGAAACAAAGTAGATCAATCAGTAGGACAATATAGCATTCTCAGACTCATGAAATATAATAACCATTAGGGCTTACCCTGCAGCATACTAGCTTTAAGGTGCTGTTCTGAGAGAATACATTATTTCATATTACTGTATTCCCCAGTCCTTTCCCTTCTCTAAATGACTTCTCTCTCTGTCAGACGTAACACTTCCCACTGGGCACACACTGGTTGTTGTTTCCACATCATTTAGACGTTGAATTGAGTGCTCTGATGAAAGGAGTGGGTCACTCAAGACAGTTCCTGACATTACCCTGACGTGGTGACATTCATATGACATTTTAGAAGAGAAAAAAAGTATCTATTAAATTCAGCTACTCTAAACTACAGCAGACATGAGAAGTAATGATCCTCCTTATCAGTATAGATATCATAGTGGACAAACAACCACCAAAGAGCAATGCTTTTTCTCTGCCTTGACAGTTGTATTCAAGCTGAGTCATTGCTGATTGGTTTGTGCAGATACACTGTCCGGCTATAGACCCTCTTTTGTGTTGCCCTTGAGAGAGCCAATGCCGCTTACGTCACTCTGTAGTTGTAAAGACCACCTCCACCCACCCCTGATATGAGTGTAAACCCACTCTAATCATAGACAGTCACACCGTGCCACGTCAGTGTGTGTTGATGTGGCATGCTTAGGGCCCTGTTTATGCTGTACAGTTAAACCATTTGCACTGTGTCATTCAGCTGAACTGTGGCTACCCAGTATTAGAATACCAACTGTGGAAGCAAGAACTTCACTGAATATCAAACGTTTTAATGAATAGAAAAACACTTGATGGAGTTACACTTTAACTCTTATTAAAGACAGAATCTGGGATATGTCCTGCTGTTCAATGGTCATTTCAATTAATGATGAGTGCCTTTAGTATGTGTCATTGCTATGTGAAATGATGTAACCAGTTCAAGTTGCCTTATTGGTCTCAAAATGTATTTTATTTAATCCATGATGTGTTTCCCATGAAAAACAGGATATATGAGAGGAATTATTGTCACTGTTATCCCTTGACTAACACAGAGGAAACAGTGCAGAAATATAATTTTATCGCCCCCTACAGTTACTTTACACTATCAGCAGGAGTTTAATTTACTACTACTGTTTACATATTTTTAAATGGAGGAACACTGAGAGCAACAAGGAGCTCTGGTGGAAAATATTGGTATATTGGTTTCTTGTTTACTTTGTCCCCTTAGTGAGACACAGACACTCTAGCCAGAAGACACATGGATTCATGCTGTGGTTCTGCAACATCCAATAATATCTGTGAGAAATGCCTCAAATCAAATCACATTTTATTTGTCACATGTGCCGAATACATCAGGTGTAGACTTTACAGTGAAATGCTTACTTACGAGCTCTTTCCCAACAATGCAGAGTTAAAAAGTAGGACTTTTTTTTTTTTAAGTAAGAAACTCAATACATCCTTTTTTATATATGTCAGACAGACACAAAGTTTTCTCCAGCTAAACAACAGATTTTGAAAGCCAACTGGAGATTTGTGAACAGGAAATGTGTCATTGACAGGAAATGCCAGTAGCCTATATACTTGATCTGCAGACTTGGGTCGCGTTCCCCAGCTCAGACGTTGCATGCATCAACCAATGGTTGCGTGCCACGTCATTGACTGCGCCGTCGGGCACCAGATTTCTACAACATATGATGTGGTTAGCTGATACTTAAAATACCTATCCAGGAGTTGTACGATCTGGCATGCGTCAGCAACGCCTGGGCAGAGGAACTAGCCCCTAGTCAAGACTGGATGGGTTCACAATGAATTCTGGCCTTACAGTGTCATAAGATAATGGATACGGTATATCAAATAAGAAACCTAGTTAAAGGTTGTGGATATACAGTATATCAAATAAGAAACCTAGTTAAAGGTTGTGGATATACAGTATATCAAACAAGAAACCTAGTTAAAGGTTGTGGATATACAGTATATCAAACAAGAAACCTAGTTAAAGGTTGTGGATATACAGTATATCAAACAAGAAACCTAGTTAAAGGTTGTGGATATACAGTATATCAAACAAGAAACCTAGTTAAAGGTTGTGGATATATAGTATATCAAACAAGAAACCTAGTTAAAGGTTGTGGATATATAGTATATCAAATAAGAAACCTAGTTAAAGGTTGTGGATATACAGTATATCAAACAAGAAACCTAGTTAAAGGTTGTGGATATACAGTATATCCAGTTACACTTGTTGTGCTCTTGTCTTTAATTGGAAATGATGGTTTTTCACCATAATCTGTACTTTTACATCACCATCAAATATATTTACACTTTTCACAGCAGTTTCAGTTATGTTTTCGCATTTTCACCAGAAGTACAGTGTGTTCATATGTTTTACCTTAACTTTTTTATTATATATTTTTATACTGACACAGACATATGGTAGCAACCCAAACTAGCATCCCAAACATAAACTCAAGAAGCCCTGGAAACTCCAAGTGACAGTACAACACCTCCTGTTGTCCACAATACACGTACATCACAGGGGGCCGGTGGCACCTTAATTGGGAAGGACGAGCTCATAGTAATGGCTGGAACGGAATTAATCGAATGGTATCAAATGCATGGTTTCCATATGTTTGATACCAATCCATTCACTCCATTCCAGCCATTATTAGCAGTCCTCCCTTCACCAGCCTCCTGTGATGTTCCACATCATTACAAAACAAAGGTGTGTACTGTAGACAATAGAAGCCAGAATGAGAAACGGTTGGAAGTATTGGGGAGTTCCATTGCTTTGGACAAAGTTAGGGAAGGAGTTTAGAGTACTGGAGGACTGACATGGTTCGTCAGAATAGCACAAACAGTCAAATCTGTCAGCAAACCAGTCAATCTCATATTGGGACATTTCACCCTTCACTGCCAGATCGCCTGTTCTATATCTCTTGATCTGGAAGGTGTATGGGTCGAGGTGTAGGTAGTCGTCTCTGTCCCAGTGCTTTCTTATGCAACGGCCATTCGCCTGACACAAAGCCTCGCTACACAGCCGCGATGCCATGGAAACATTCAAGATGTACGGATTCATGATCTTCTCCAGGTGGCGTCTGGCAGCGAAGCAGGAGTCCTGTGAAAAGTTAAGGGCAGAGTGATAAAGTGCTTTGGTTGTGTTTACATTAAAGATTTGATTACGTGCATTTAGGTGTTATTAGATAAGCTTGTTCTTAGATGCATATGAAATAGATGTGTATAAAAATAGGGAGCATACCTCTGAGTCAGTGACGTTCATGTCCCCCCAGGAGATCACCCCAGCCGCTCCCAGGGCAGCTGCCTCCCCAATGGTGTTCACCAGGTCATACTGGAAACCACAGAGTTACAAAGCCATAAGGGAAAATCACTATGACACAATACACCCCCACCATGTCATTCAAAGGATACAAATCACACCAAGTCATTCAAAGGATACACATTTTGACAAGACAAAACACTAACACTTCAAACACACTTCAAACAATAACATGAGAGAAAATGAGACTAAACAAAGTTGTCAAGCTGGTAGAACAGACGATTAAAGGAAAAGATAGCTAGAGAGATCACTATGATTTTTTTGCTCTACCTTTGAGACATTTAGGCCAGGGGTCAGCAACAGGTTTTTAGCAACAACAAAACAGTTTTTAGCAACAACAAAAAAAATATGTATTTTTTTGTATGATTTTAGTTTTAAGTCAAAAGAGACTAAAATCACCAGGATTCCAGCAAAATATTTGTTTCATTTAGGAAATCTGTTCAAGTATTCCCACAAATATAAAAAGAGACGTGATTGTGTCTCAATGTAATCAAGGTATAAAATTATTGTTATTTTCAAATACAATCTCTTTTTGGGCTTAGTTGTGATCAATTATGCAGTGTACAAATTATTATAATTAAGTTCCGGCGCCTTAATATCTGATTTAAGGCCAGTTAGTGTGCGGTCAGGTACATAAATCGTTTTCAGAACTCTTGACAGTGTTCACTGACCTCTGACATGTAGTCATCACCACTATCTTTGAAAACTGGGCGGATGTAGGCGTAGACAGGAATGGCGTAACTTTGGTTGGGGAGCATGGATACTCTCATAGCTTCCTGAATGCGGTGGCGGACAAACAGGCGGGCTTGGTAGGAATCTCTCAGGATCAGCTCCAGATAGATGGATGGGTAGAGAGCAGTGGACTCCTTCCATAGCCACATCAAGTCATCGTTCCTCTCTAGCTCAAGCTCAGGACAACTCCCAGAATAATCACTCATATCCTGGTTGTAGTCGTAGTTGTAACAGTCTGGGTACAGATAGTATCCCCAAAGCCTGTTGGGTCTTAGCCTCTTCCCAACCAAGAGAGATCGGAGAAAGTATCGCTTTGCTGCTCGCTCAAACACTATCTTGGCTCTGTCTTCGGCCTCGTCGTCGGATAAGTTTGGGGTCTTGGTTTTCACAGTCTCAATTGAGAGATCTCGATAGATGTCCTTGCTGCCCCAGTTCCGGACCCACTGTGGTCGCCATTCCTCAAAGTCAAGGATGGCGAGGCCCGGTTGGTCTTCGGGGATGTAGTATTCAATGTCATCTTCGGCCTGCTCATGGTGTTCCTGGAAATCGATCAGCTGTGGAAGGCCTTCGTCATATATTTCCCCTGTGTCCTCGTCCACGTATGGGAAGAGGCCGAAACGGTCCGAGTAGAAAATGGAGATGCTTTGGTTGGTGGCGGACTTCAAAGTGCTGCTCACTAACTGGAAGTGGGAGAGGTTGAGACCCACGCCAAATCTGGTCTCGCAGAGTTCTGTGGGAGAGTTCCACATGAAAAGGAAGGGGTAGTTAGGATCTACAGGTGGGTCTGTTTTAGGTAGTGCCCAGTTAATGCCCAGTAGAGTCATGAGAAAAAAACATTCCATGAAGTGCAGTCCACGAAAGGAGACCATGTACAGATTCATTTTCAACTCTGCGTCTTGTTCCTTAAGATGGGAAAACAGAGCATAATAAATCAACGTTATTGTGAGTAATGTTTTGGAACGGTGTCAAAAGAAAGCACATCCAACCCAGATATAAATAGGTAAATGTGTTCTGCACTTCCTTTCTTTTCAAAGAAGATTTCCTTTCAAAGCAGAAGTATTTGTTTTTGTTTGATGTAATTTTGGCAAATACAAACATAACTGTGACATCATTGATCAGCATTCTATCCTGCACCATCTACTCAAAAAAAGCTTTTAAATTTGAAGTGTTCAATTCAATATAAATAATTACAACATCTTATGTGTAGTGGAAAATACAACCAAACACTGCACAAATGGTAAAAATAGAGGCAATAGTCAAAATGGAGGCAATAGAGAATGACATACAGCTCAAAACTAAGCACATTGAATTCAATCATATCTGTGATTGCTCAACTGCCGAAATTGCCACCCCATTCCCCCCACAGTAGAATTAAGAATAAGAAATTCCATTATGTAAAGGGTAATTGATTTGTGGCATTTCCAAAGATCTGGTCTATGATTGTTGTGTTTTTTTCTTTCTTCAAGAACACTCATTGGTACTTGTACTATTTCACAATGTATTGCAACTGGAAGAGTGGGAATTGGAGTTGATGATCATTGATTAGCAATGCCTGACGTGTGATTTAGAGCTGGACTGTCACGGTTTCGGCCGAGGCTGCTCCTCCTCCTGGTTCGGGCAGGCTTCGGCGGTCGTCGTCCCCGGAGTACTAGCTGCCACCGATCTATGTTTCATGTTCGTTTGGTTTTGTCTTGATGTTGTACACCTGTGTCTTGTTAGTCCTCGTTAGTGTCCTATTTAGTTCTCGTTGTGTGTGTTTGTCTTTGTGTGTGATTGCTCTTCTGTTTCGTGTTGGAGCTACGTACTTCCCTCCAGTGTTTTGGAGAGGTTTTTCGCACATGTTAGTGCGCCGTTTGTTTGACGCCTGTGTGCGCCGTTATTTCGCCTTCGGGCTTATTGTGCTTATTTTCTACGTGAATATTGCACTAAAGTCTTTTGGACTGAGCTTCTGCGTCCTGCGCTTGATTCATGCACCACACCCACCTTCAGCACCCCTTGACATGGACGATATGGACAAAAATCCATAATGCAATAAATTGCCTGAATTGATGCGATTATGATAAATAGAACGATACGTTTATAACAATGTGCATCACAGTTTTTTTTTTTTATTATACTTTTCACTACAAATAGTTTGATGGTTGTAGTCATCAATTGTAACATTAACAATCACCCATATTAGCACATTTATTTCACATTTCTGTAGTATAGGCTACTTATTTTAATGAACGATATCTGCAAAATGCCTGCGATAAGTGATCGGTATGGTCAGAGTCGATCATTTTCGGTTTATTGTCCCAGCTCTACACTCTTAGAAAAAAGGGTTCCAAAAAGGTTCTGCGACTGTCCCCATAGGATAACTCTTTTTGGTTCCAGGTAGAACCCTTATTGGTTCCAGGTAGAACCCTTATTGGTTCCAGGTAGAACCCTTTCCACAGAGGTTTCTACCTGGAACCACAAAGAGTTCTACCTGGAACCAAAAGGGGTTCTTCAAAGGGATCTCCTATGGGGACAGTGTCTCTCACTTGAACTAATTGAGATGGTGGTTGTCCTGGAATAAAGTCACGTCCAGTTAGCTCCATATGCTGTCTCGTGTCCAAGTCTTATCTTTCATATAGCTGATGTTCCACTCTCTGAAACCTACAAATGATGCGTTACATTACCACCATCTCAATTTGTTTACGTGACAGACAGGAATTTAGACATTCATATCGTTCATTAGGGCGATATGGGCGACGCACTGCCAAACGGGAAAAGGAAGGGATTTTTTTTCTAATCAATTATATCAAGGCAACAGTAGTTATCAGTGTTCTAATCTAGACGTCTGATCTGCCACTAAACGTCCAATCAGGCTAAAGTCGTGCTTCAAATGGCCCCGCCCCTTTTGGGGCGATTTCAGTCAGGTTGAAAATCGCCCCAGAAGTATCTCATAGACTCTCATGTAAAATCTATTTTTTTCAAATATCAGAGCTTTCAATACAATCTCTATGGGTTTCTGAGGGCTTGCACTTACGCGCTTTCGTCATACGTAACATAACCATGAACGTAACTAAGAAAAGAGCGGGTAGCAGCGTCAATCAATTCACGTACTACTATCAAGATGGCTAGCGTTCAGTGCAACTCGATTGTCTCTTTGAAAGAAGTTCACATCAAAGACCATTCAAAACGAGCTACTGGAGTGTATGCTAGCGGTCATGAGGGAACATATTGTGGAGGAGGTGAAGTCGGCGAACTTCGTAGCTATCCAAGCTGACGAGACCACGGACGTTTCTACACAGACACAGCTGGTGCTTGTGCTGAGGTACATAGATAGCAACCACAAAGTGCAGGAGCGCTTTTTTGAGTTCCTTCCCATCTCGGAATCAACCTCAGTCTCAATCGCCAGTGTGCTTTTGAAGAGACTGAACGGTCTTTTTGCCGACGACGAGAAAGTCAAACTGTGGTGCACTGGCACTGTACCAGGTTCTCATGAGCTACAACCTCCAGGAGACGTTCTCTGAGACTGTGACTCTGTTGAACATCCTCATAACTGCTCCCATGACAACAGCTGAAGCTGAGAGATGTTTCTCAACTTTGACACGAGTTAAGACATTCCTGCGAAATTCAATGGGCCAGGAACGTCTGAATGCACTGGCCATGCTTTCCATGGAGAGGGAACTAGTCCTCAGCATGCCTGATTTCAATGAGAAAGTCATTGACCGCTTTGCTGCATTGAAAGAGAGAAGAGAACAGTTTCAGTACAAGTAATGTAGCCTCTCTCTCTCTTTGTCCCTCCCTGTCTGTCTCTTTAACACACACACGCCCAAATCAGTTCACAGTTGATGTTGTTTAAAATAGTTATTTTTCATTTTAAAAAAAGTAAAACAAATAAAATAATCTGTTCATGTTCATTTTTACAAATCTATACAATTGGCCAGAATATGGTTGTTCATATTTACAAATCTATACAATTGGCCAGAATATGGTTGTTCATTTTTACAAAGCCATACAGATAGCTGTGTTTACCTTTTCTATAAATTATTTTCAAATTCTGTTTTCAGGCAAAATGTCTATCACTGTTCATTTTCACAAATCTATACAAGAGGGCAGAATATGGAAGTCTATAAAAATGTCTTATTACCAATAACTTGCATCAATGTTTTCAGTAGCCTCTATCAAAAGCTCCTGCTTGCTTGTTGTGAATTATGCTCAGGTGCACATATTTCCAATTCAACCATGAGGCAAAAAATGTGTTAAAAGCTCTTGTTGATCCTGCAATCTGAACAAATACCAAGATGCTGTATTTTCAGCTGATATTTCATTTGTTTATGGAAATGCATATTGTTTATGCAGTGTTGAGGAATGTGAAAGAACACCCTTGATTATTTTTACTGTGATAACTTATTTTGCTTTTGTAAGCCAACACTTTTGAGATCAGTCAATAAATGCTTCTGGCATTGACTTATATGCTGCCCCTGTCTTCATGTTGTTGCTGGACATATCTTTTTTAAAATGTGTGTAGGTCACCTAAATCATCAGAAAAATTGCCCCCCCTGAGAATTTTTTCAGGAGCCGCCACTGCACGTCAGACATTACTAATCAATGATCATCAACTCCAATTCCCACTCTCACACAACAATGGTATTAACCACCAGAGGCACATTCCTCACATTAAATCACTATACTTTATACTTTATGTGTCATAAAATTGGAACTTACGTCACAACAGCCACAGGTGGTTTGACTTCAAAGTTTAATCAGCACACATCTCAACAAGGCCAGAGAAAGGACAAGAGACAGGTGATCACTGGCCAAGACAAAACACTACAGATGTAGGATCTTAATTTTGATCACTTTTTCGTTGCTGAAAATGTTCCTGCACATCAGGAAATGCAAACTTGTAGTGTATTTGAGGTTTAAAAAGGCTTCTAAAGTTTGTAATTTCCACTTTAAAATGTCAGACTTTATTTGCCCCAAACGAAAAATGAATCAACCCCTACAAAAATGTACAATCCACATAATAATTTATATTTCCTGTTGCTGCAGGATTGTTTACCTGCTGTAGCAAACTGGCTCAAATTAAGATCCTACATCTATAGCACTTCAAACACACTTCAAACAATAACATGAGAGAAAATGAGACTAAACAAAGTTGTCAAGCTGGTAGAACAAAGGATTAAAGGATACAACATGAATGTGTACCCACCTGTTCCAGGGATTCTCACACAAATTCCTTGCAGTCCAGCACACTGTGTCCCCTTTTCCTGCTCAAAATTGTTAATCCTTCACTACAAACCTCACCCCAGGTCTCATCTGGGAATTTTAAATAGTGTGTCTCTAAATAAATTCTGCAATAGCTTTGAGCGTAGCTCGCTGTTACATAACAAACACTTGTGGAAACTGGAAATGGAGAAGACAGAGTTTGATTTATATGCTAGGTCTTGTGACTCCCTCAGGGGGTTCTGTTTATTGGAATTCGTTGATATTAACAGGTTTAAAATGAACTTTTCTGTGCCTGGAGGGGGATATGAGGAAACAGGTGTTGTCACGATCGTTACTGGATGAGACGGACCAAGGCGCAGCGTGATAAGCGTACATATTTATTAAGTACTTCACACCAACAAAACAACAAATAAACGATACGTGAAGTCCTAGGTTACCAACACAAACCTTTAACGGAACAAGATCCCACAAAACCAAAGTGCCAAAAGGCTGCCTAAGTATGGTCCCCAATCAGAGACAACGAGCTACAGCTGTCTCTGATTGGGAACCACCCTGGCCAACATAGATATACACAATCTAGAACACCCATAGACAACTAAACATAACAAGTCCACACCCTGGCTCAACATTTAAGAGTCCCCAGAGCCAGGGCGTGACAGTACCCCCCCCCCCCCCCCCCCCCAAAGGCGCGGACTGCGACCGCGCCAACCAAACACAACAGGGGAGGGGCCGGGTGGGCATTCCGCCTCGGAGGCGGATCCGGCTCCGGGCGTGACCAACACTCTCTCGCTACCACCCCGTAGCGGCCCTAGTCTGGTCTGGCCCGCTGGCCGGAGCTGGACTGGACACCGGTGGAGCGGATTGCACCGGTGGAACCAGGCACCGGTGGAACAGGCACGGGCTGTGCCGGACTGACGACGCGCACCACTGGCTTGGTGCGGGGAGCAGGAACAGGCCGGACCGGGCTGGCGATGCGCACCACTGGCTTGGTGCGGGGAGCAGGAACGGGCCGGACCGGGCTGGCGATGCGCACCACTGGCTTGGTGCGGGGAGCAGGAACGGGCCGGACCGGGCTGACGACGCGCACCACTGGCTTGGTGCGGGGAGCAGGAATGGGCCGGACCGGGCTGACGACGTGCACCACTGGCTTGGTGCGGGGAGCAGAAACAGGCCGGACCGGGCTGACGATGCGCACCACTGGCTTGATGCAAGGGACAGGAACAGGCCGGACCGGGCTGGCGACGCGCACCACTGGCTTGGTGCGAAGGACAGGAACAGGCCGGACCGGGCTGGCGACGCGCACCACTGGCTTTGTGCGAGGGGCAGGAACAGGCCGGACCGGGCTGGCGACGCGCACCACTGGCTTTGTGCGAGGGGCAGGAACAGGCCGGACCGGGCTGGCGACGCGCACCACTGGCTTGGTGCGAGGGACAGGAACAGGTCGGGCCGTACTGGGAACATGCACCACTGGCCTTGTGCGGGAATCAGGAACGGGCCGGACCGGACTGGTGACACACACCACTTGCTTGGTGCGAGGAGCGGGACTGGGTTTCCTAATAAACCTCCGCTCCCTCTGCTGCCTAACCAGTTCCTCTCGCCGTGCCTCTACACTCTCCTTCTCCCTCATGACCAATAGCCCCCGTAACCTGGTGGCCTCCTCTCCTAGTCCGCAGATTCGCCCTGTAGCTGCCTCCTGCTGCCCCGTCGTCCACACCGTGTGCCCCCCCCCCCCCAACATTTTCTTGGGGTGTCCGTCGTCGGCGCGGTTGGCGCCGTTTCTCCTCTCCTGCCTGGGCATTTACCTTTGCCCATGGCCCTTTGCCCGCGAAGATCTCCTCCCAAGACCACCATTTGCCCACCTGGGACATCGCCATCTTCTCCTCCTGGGCACGCTGCTTGGTCCTCTTATGGTGGGATCTTCTGTCACGATCGTTCAAGGAAGTGACGGACCAAGGCGCAGCGTGATAAGCGTACATATTTATTAAGTACTTCACACCAACAAAACAACAAATAAACGATACGTGAAGTCCTAGGTTACCAACACAAACCTTTAACGGAACAAGATCCCACAAAACAAAAGTGCCAAAAGGCTGCCTAAGTATGGTCCCCAATCAGAGACAACGAGCTACAGCTGTCTCTGATTGGGAACCACCCTGGCCAACATAGATATACACAATCTAGAACACCCATAGACAACTAAACATAACAAGTCCACACCCTGGCTCAACATTTAAGAGTCCCCAGAGCCAGGGCGTGACAGGTGTTATTAACGCCTTTTTTTGGGTAAGCACAAAACTACCTTCATACTTCCATTAGTTTTATTTTACTGGTACCGGTTACCTTCAGACGAGTCCCGTGACACTTGTGGATGTCGTAGAGCAAAACGGAGAACACCATCGTGTTCGTGAGAATCCCATTAGTTTGTAGCCCAAACGGTTTAGGCGCTATCAAACAGAAGTTGGCACATCGACGGTACCGACTTCATACGAGTTTCCTGACACTTGTGGGAGTCGTAGAGCAAAACGGAGAACACTATCGTGTTCATAATAGTTCAAATCCTTCAGACTCTACAGACATTTCATGAGAAGACAGATTTTCGGGATGTCTCATGGTCTGACAAATACCGCTCTAGCTCTGCCACCTTTCACCGCAGATGCGGAAGTGCGACAGGCGGATGCAGTGGATTGAGACTCATCCAATGCAAAAAAACATATCTCTAGCTGAAACTGATTGATTTTGATGGGGATTTTTTTCTTATGTAACTTAGGTGCGTCAATCGCCTCTAGGGGGTTAAAACACACTATTTCTTCAACTTACATTTACATTACATTTTAGTCATTTAGCAGACGCTCTTATTCAGAGCGACTTACAGTTAGTGAATGCATACATTTTTTTTTTTTTTTTTATATACTGGCCTCCCGTGGGAAACAAACCCACATCCCTGCCGGCCAAACCCTCCCCTACCTTGGACGACGCTGGACCAATTGTGCGCCACCCAACTTAATCATCACAGTAGCATTACTCAAAGCCCCTTAAAGGTTATGGGGTTAAAGGTTACAGGCTCTGCATACTGTCCAAAGCAGGGCTCTCCAACCCTGTTCCTAGAGAGCTACTGTTTCACTCCAACCCTAATCTAGCACACCTGAATCTAACAATGAACTGGTTAGTTACAAATGGGGTTGGAGCGAAAACCTACTGGAGGGTAGCTCTCCAGGAACAGGGTTTGAGAGACCTGGTCTAAAGGATACCAACTAATGTATTTTTATATAAATATGTAATGTGTTACTTTAGAGATCAAATCCTACAGTGATATAAAATATATTGTTCATCTGAAAATGAGAAGCTTGATTATCGACTGATCATGGCTTAAATCATATGCACATACCCTTACTATGACTGCAACAAAGTGTATGTTTTTTCATTGGTCAGATTTATCTGAGAGTGAAATGCCAGGTAGGCTATACTTGAATGACCATAGGGGTCATGGGGAGAGCAGCTACTGCCTGTGTAGCACTGGCAGGTGAACTTGTCTGCTTAGGTGTGGAGGTCGGCGGAGGAGGGATTTCCAATGGCCACGTACTTCCCCTGGGACTTCAGGAGGCCGAAGGTGTCCAGGTTCAGGTAGTCAATGGAGTTGTAGTCCTTTCTGACACAGCGGCCATCGTCCTGGCAAAGGACGTCATTACAGTTTGGGGTGGAAGTCAGGTACAGTGGGGAAAAAAGTATTTAGTCAGCCACCAATTGTGCATGTTCTCCCACTTAAAAAGATGAGAGTGGCCTGTAATTTTCATCATAGGTACACGTCAACTATGACAGACAAATTGAGGAAAGAAATTCCAGAAAATCACATTGTAGGATTTTTTATGAATTTATTTGCAAATTATGGTGGAAAATAAGTATTTGGTCACCTACAAACAAGCAAGATTTCTGGCTCTCACAGACCTGTAACTTCTTCTTTAAAAGGCTCCTCTGTCCTCCACTCGTTACCTGTATTAATGGCACCTGTTTGAACTTGTTATCAGTATAAAAGACACCTGTCCACAACCTCAAACAGTCACACTCCAAACTCCACTATGGCCAAGACCAAAGAGCTGTCAAAGGACACCAGAAACAAAATTGTAGACCTGCACCAGGCTGGGAAGACTGAATCTGCAATAGGTAAGCAGCTTGGTTTGAAGAAATCAACTGCGGGAGCAATTATTAGGAAATGGAAGACATACAAGACCACTGATAATCTCCCTCGATCTGGGGCTCCACGTAAGATCTCACCCCGTGGGGTCAAAATGATCACAAGAACGGTGAGCAAAAATCCCAGAACCACACGGGGGGACCTAGTGAATGACCTGCAGAGAGCTGGGACCAAAGTAACAAAGCCTACCATCAGTAACACACTACGCCGCCAGGGACTCAAATCCTGCAGTGCAAGACGGGTCCCCCTGCTTAAGCCAGTACATGTCCAGGCCCGTCTGAAGTTTGCTAGAGTCCATTTGGATGATCCAGAAGAGGATTGGGAGAATGTCATATGGTCAGATGAAACCAAAATAGAACTTTTTGGTAAAAACTCAACTCGTCGTGTTTGGAGGACAAAGAATGCTGAGTTGCATCCAAAGAACACCATACCTACTGTGAAGCATGGGGGTGGAAACATCATGCTTTGGGGCTGTTGTTCTGCAAAGGGACCAGGACGACTGATCCGTGTAAAGGAAAGAATGAATGGGGCCATGTATCGTGAGATTTTGAGTGAAAACCTCCTTCCATCAGCAAGGGCATTGAAGATGAAACGTGGCTGGGTCTTTCAGCATGACAATGATCCCAAACACACCGCCCGGGCAACGAAGGAGTGGCTTCGTAAGAAGCATTTCAAGGTCCTGGAGTGGCCTAGCCAGTCTCCAGATCTCAACCCCATAGAAAATCTTTGGAGGGAGTTGAAAGTCCGTGTTGCCCAGCGACAGCCCCAAAACATCACTGCTCTAGAGGAGATCTGCATGGAGGAATGGGCCAAAATACCAGCAACAGTGTGTGAAAACCTTGTGAAGACTTACAGAAAACGTTTTGACCTGTGTCATTCCCAACAAAGGGTATATAACAAAGTATTGAGAAACTTTTGTTATTGACCAAATACTTATTTTCCACCTTTAATTTGCAAATAATTCATTAAAAATCCTACAATGTGATTTTCTGGGAAAAAAAAATCTCATTTGTCTGTCATAGTTGACGTGTACCTATGATGAAAACTACAGGCCTCTCTCATCTTTTTAAGTGGGAGAACTTGCACAATTGGTGGCTGACTAAATAAATTTTTTCCCCACTGTATGTGGATAATGCTTCACATGAAACATGAAAGGAGAGAGAGAAAGAGAGAGAGAGAGAGAGAGAGAGAGGAAGAGAGAGAGAGAGAGAGGAGAGAGAGGGGAGAGGAGAGAGAGAGAGAGGAGAGAGAGAAGCATTATCCACACTGGATAAAAACAAAGGGGCTACAAATGTCATATCCAAGTTATTTTACCAGACACTCTTATCCAGAGCAATTAGGGTTAAGTGCTTTGCTTAAGGGCACATCGACAGATTTTTCACCTAGTCAGCTCAGGGATTAGAGCCAGCAACCCACTAAGCTGTCTGCCTCCTGACAAATTGTGAAACTGTATATGATAGGACTCCAGTCCGAGACCGGTCTCGAGTAACACAACGCTGATGATAAGCATAGAAATAATTGTGTGCTGTGACACAGTACCTTCCCATTGTTTTAACATGAGTAATTGTACATTGTGCCATCATTGATCAGCATTCTGTACTGCACCACCACTCAAAATAGCTTTTACACTGAAGTATTCAATAATATTGAAGTAACAGCATTTTTCCTGTGAGGGAACTTCTTGTGTGGAGTGTCAGAATAGTCAGCACTGGCCCCCAGAGTACTGACCCGGAGGCCCCAAAGGTTTCACTCTCCAATGCTGCTGATCAGATCCTCCTGGGAGTGACAGACAAACAGTATGACATAAATTCACCTGAAGTCAAAATACATTTGTAATAGTGTGTGCACTGCATGTCTTGAATATGTTCTTGTCGGCATATACAGTTGAAGTCGGAAGTTTACATACACTTAGGTTGGAGTAATTAAAACTCGTTTTTTCAACCACTCCACAAATTTCTTGTTAACAAACTATAGTTTTGGCAAGTCGGTTAGGACATCTACTTTGTGCATGACACAAGTAATTTTTCCAACAATTGTTTACAGACAGATTATTTCACTTATAACTCACTGTATCACAATTCCAGTGGGTCAGAAGTTTACATACACTAAGTTGACTGTGTCTTTAAACAGCTTGGGAAATTCCAGAAAATGATGTAATGGCTTTAGAAGCTTTTGATAGGCTAATTGATATAATTTGAGTCAATTGGAGGTGTATCTGTGGATGTATTTCAAGGCCTACCTTCAAACTCAGTGCCTCTTTGCTTGACATCATGGGAAAATCAAAAGAAATAAGCCAAGACCACAGAAAAAAAATGGTAGACCTCCACCAGTCTGGTTCATCCTTGGGAGCAATTTCCAAACGCCTGAAGGTACCACGTTCATCTGTACAAACAACAGTACGCAAGTATAAACACCATGGGACCACGCAGCCGTCATCCCGCTCAGGAAGGAGACGCGTTCTGTCTCCTAGAGATGAACGTACTTTGGTGCTAAAAGTGCAAATCAATCCAAGAACAACAGCAAAGGACCTTTTGAAGATTCTGGAGGAAACAGGTACAAAAGGATCTATATCCACAGTAAAACGAGTCCTATATTGACATAACCTGAAAGGCCGCTCAGCAAGGAAGAAGCCACTGCTCCAAAACCGCCATAAAAAAGCCAGACTACGGTTTGCAACTGCACATGGGGACAAAGATCGTACTTTTTGGAGAAATGTCCTCTGGTCTGATGAAACAAAAATAGAACTGTTCGGCCATAATTACCATTGTTATGTTTGGAGGAAAAAGGGGAAGGCTTGCAAGACGAAGAACACCATCCCAACCGTGAAGCACGGGGGTGGCAGCATCATGCTATGGGGGTGCTTTGCTGCAGGAGGGACTGGTGCACTTCACAAAATAGATGGCATCATGAGGAAGGAAAATGATGTGGATATATTGAAGCAACATCTCAAGACATCAGTCGCGAAGTTAAAGCTTGGTCGCAAATGGGTCTTCCAAATGGACAACGATCCCAAGCATACTTCCAAAGTTGTGGCAAAATGGCTTAAGGACAACAAAGTCAAGGTATTGGAGTGGCCATCACAAAGCCCTGACCTCAATCCTATAGAACATTTGTGGGCAGAACTGAAAAAGCGTGTGCAAGCAAGGAGGCCTACAAACCTGACTCAGTTAAACCAGCTCTGTCAGGAGGAATGGGCAACTTATTGTGGGAAGCTTGTGGAAGGCTACCCGAAACGTTTGACCCAAGTTAAACAATTTAAAGGCAATGCTACCAAATACTAATTGAGTGTATGTAAACTTCTGACCCACTAGAAATGTGATGAAAGAAATAAAAGCTGAAATAAATCATTCTCTCTACTACTATTCTGACATTTCACATTCTTGAAATAAAGTGGTGATCCTAACTGACCTAAAACAGGGAACGTTTACTAGGATTAAATGTCAGGAATTGTGAAAAACTGAGTTTAAATGTATTTGGCTAAGGTGTATGTAAACTTCCGACTTCAACTGTACTTAACAGCATATACTTAACAGCATGTACTTAACGACATATACTTAACGGCATATACTTAACGCATATCTCTGGTATCTGAAAATTACAGGAGGTTATATATATAACCTGTTATTGTAAAGCTATTATTCAACGTTTTGACAAACATCTGGTCTAGACAGAATTCTTGACATGTGAAATGGGAGTTGGTAGAACAAAAACCTATTATTATGGGCCTAAGTTCCGAGGCTGGGCCGATTGGATAATATACCCCTTACAGAAAAACCACTTTTCACATGTGGAAAATCACATGATTTCACATGAAATGTCATGTGAAATCAGTTGTTTTCACATGTGTAGTTTCATATTATCACATGTTGCTTTACATCAGTGATCATCAACTAGATTCAGACACAGGCCTATTTTTTGTTGAGCGGATGGTTAGAGGGGCGGAACATCATTACAGATCACTTGTAGACTGCAAATTGACCGCAAGAAGACCAAAATATTTGACTAAAACATAACGCGTCTCTCTGTTATGCATGGGAATACTTGGGAACATATTACCATAATTAAAATCATTTGGAGCTGATTTCCTGATATTCTTACAGTATTTTATGTCCAACAATGAAAATGTCCAACAAAAAAATATGTGTAAATGTTTTTTCTTCTGAAAACTTGGGGGGACAAATAAAACCACCAGTTGGGGAACCCTGCTTTACATGTTGTCACATGTTATCACATTAACTTCACATAAGGTCACATGTGATCACATGAAAACATGTGCTTTTGGAACACTTCACGTGTTCACGTGATATTCATGTGGTTTTCTGTAGGGGACCCTATGCATTTATACTGTAACTTTCTGCAAATCAAACATTTTCCATGACCTGATAGATAATAATTGGGATATTAGGAATATCATTTTCATTTTTTATTTTCTTTTAGTCCTCTGGATGGGAGCAAGTTGACACGTCACGCTCCAAATCAGGATGCAGGTTTTGGGGCGAAAGAACTGTTACGTAAAGGGCTATCATCAAGCAGCTACCATACTTATGTCAACCAATACAGCAGGTACATTTCTGTGAAACTGCTGTTTTTACTGATATGTGGTCTCCTATCTCGTTTCTGTACTCTGGAAAACACAGATGCCCTTCAAGGCACCTGACCTCTGGAGTGTGCTGATGATATCAGTGTTTGTCTGCAGTTATCAGCCTAATACATTGTAAAATTGTGTGCGTGTAAGAGAAGGAATGTGTCTAAATACCCATGCAATAGAATCCAAACTTGAAGGGTAACTTTCAGGGCCACTTTAAGGGACGGTTATGGGCTACAAAGGGCCGATTAAAAACCATTCTCAATGGAGAATCTTAATTGATACGTTGTCAATTGGAAAATTTTGTCATCCATGTTTATTTCTTGATATCAGCCTCCATTTAATGCCATTTAATTAAGTTGCTTAGCTTTGAAGGAAGATATAGAAACAAATTGATGTATGCAGTTCATCTACATTCAAGCAACACTTGTCATATGTTGCATATAATCCTTGTGTATTTGGTTTACAATCTTGGAATCTTAAGTGCGGTCTAGGCAAAAGCACAACAGGGCTACTATGGCTGAGATTAGTGATTCTGAGATGAAATCATCCAGAATGAGATGGATTTGTCTACAGTGAAACCACAGTCAGTAGACATAATGATATAAAATGTATGAACTACTTATATGAGCCACTTGTCCATACACATTAAACATCAACAGAAAGTGAGTAAAGCGATCCAAAAAGAAACATGTAGGTACCTATCAAAATGCTGACGCACCTTATATTGATGCTACGTCAATTATGAGTCTAGCCCTCGGTGTTTCACAGAAAGAACATCTGGAGTACATTTGTACAGTGCCATCGTGCATGGGTAAAGAACAACATGAGTACAATTGGCAAGATTTGAAAAATGTCTGTTCTTTCCATTAAAATAACATATAGTTCATATACAACCAGCGACATATAATGGTTTTACAGTCCAGTTTAGTATAACAATTCTACATCAAAATTATTTTACAGTTTCACACATTTCAAGAGTAACCTTGGTAGAAGACACTCACTTGGGTGTTGCAAGAAAATACATGCAGCTTCTAATTCTCCTACTGTAATGGACTAACTAAGGAGGACAGGCAGAACATGTTGACATTACATACCTTGTCTCTTCCATTGCTGCTCAGTGTTAACCCCTGCCTACCTGAGCTTCAATGTCAGAGTGATACGTAACGCTTTGGGTTCTTTTTGAACATACACCTGTGAATCAATAAGATGTCCAGTCTAAATATAACTTTGCTTGAACACCAATGTTTGCAAAAAGGTGTGGGAAAGAAACAACTGGCAACCTCCATAGCACCTATGTTGCACAATGTTCCTAAACGTTGCCTACTAAACAGTGCTCCCTATTGAAGGCCACGGGGCCCGGACGTGATGTGGTTCGTAAACTGTTCGATATAGATACACCAATTTGTTAAAGGCTTTTTCCAAAGAACTTTGTTTTACTTTATTGTTCCTCTAGTTGTCAAATTAGATAATCTCTTCAAATTAATTATCAATCAATGATAGCGTGCCGTTAAAAAATAAACACCTTTGCATCGTGTAAATACCAAGATTATTGCTAGATGATACTGCACAGTGTTAGGGGAGACTGGAGCAAGAGTCCCAGATACCATTTCATTGTCAGAGCTTACAATGCTACCAATAGTGATGGTGTTTTGTGAGAATTAATAGGGTTAGGATGTTACCTTACTTTCAGCAAATAAATGCTGTTGCTGGCAAAGGGAGCAGTGCATGCCTAATGGCACAATGACAAAAAAAGTTTATATTGATCCAATTGTTAATATATAGTAAGGCTTTATGGTAGCTTAAAGTAGGTTTGATGACAGGATAAACATTTAGGGTGGCAGGTAGCCTAGCAGTTAGTGCATTGGGTCAGTAACTGAAAGGTTGTTAGTTTGAATCCCTGAGCTGACAAGGTAAAAACTCTGTTGATGTGTCATTGAGCAAGGCACTTAACCCTAATTGCTCCAGGGTCGCTATTGATAAAGGCAGACCCTGGCCATGACCCCACCCTCCTAGGGTGTCTCAGAGGGAGTTGGGATATGCCAAAAAATAATAATTTCCAACTCATCATGCGTATAATACCCATTTGTATATGTGTGAAATAGGACAAATATAAGCACCCACCTAATTATTATTTAAATCCATGTGTACTGCTTATGAATGCAGTACAGTGCATTCGGAAAGTATTCAGACCCCTTGACTTTTTACACATTTTGTTAAGTTACAGCCTTATTCTAAAAAAGGTCTTCTTTTTTTTAGCCTCATCAATCTACACACAATACCCCATAATGACAAAGCAAAAACTGGTTTTTAGAAATGTTTGCAAATTTATTAAAAAACAACAACTGAAATATCACATTTATATAAGTATTCAGACCCTTTACTCAGTACTTTATTGAAGCACCTTTGGCAGTGATTACAGCCTCGAGTCTTCTTGGGTATGACTCTACAAGCTTGGCACACCTGTATTTGGGGAGTTTCTCCCATTCTTCTCTGTAGATCCTCTCAAGCTCTATTAGGTTGGATGGGGAGCGTCGCTGCACAGCTATTTTCAGGTCTATCCAGAGATGTTAGATCGGGTTCGAATCCGGACTCTGGCTGGGCAACTCAAGGACATTCTGAGACTTGTCCCGAAGCCACTCCTGCGTTGTCTTGGCTCTGTGCAGGTTTTCATCAAGGATCTCTCTGTACTTTGCTCCGTTCATCTTTCCTTCGATCCTGACTAGTCTCCCAGTCCCTGCTGCTGAAAGACATCCCCACAGCATGATGCTGCCACCACCATGCTTCACCGTAGGGATGGTGCCAGGTTTCCTCCTGACGTGACACTTGGCATTCAGGACAAAGAGTTCAATCTTGGTTTCATCATGGTCTGAGAGTCCTTTAGGTGCCTTTGGCAAACTCCAAGCAGGCTGTCATGTGCCTTTTACTGAGGAGTGGCTTCCGTCTGGCCACTCTACCATAAAGGCCTGATTGGTGGAGTGCTGCAGAGATGGTTGTCCTTCTGGATGGTTCTCCCATCTCCACAGAGGAACTCTGGAGCTTTGTCAGAGTGACCATCGGGTTCTTGTTCACCTCCTTGACCAAGGCCCTTCTCCCCCGATTGCTCAGTTTGGCCGGGCGGCCAGCTCTACGAAGAGTCTTGGTGGTTCCAAATTTCTTCCATTTAAGAATGATGGAGGCCACTGTGTTCTTGGGGATCTTCAATGCTGTAGAAATGTTTTGATACCCTTCCCCAGATGTGTGCCTCGACACAATCCTGTCTCTGAGCTCTACGGACAATTCCTTTGACCATGGCTTGGTTTTTGCTCTGACATGCACTGTCAACTGTGGGACCTTATATTGAAAGGTGTGTGCCTTTCCAAATCATGTCCAATCAATTGAATTTACCACAGGTGGACTCAAAGTTGTAGAAACATCTCAAGGATGATCAACGGATACAAGATGCACTTGAGCTCAATTTCAAGTCTCATAGCAAAGGGTCTGAATACTTATGTAAATAAGGTATTTCTGTTTCTTATTTTTAATACATTTGCAAACATTTCCAAAAACCTGTTTTCGCTTTGTCATTATGGGGTATCGTGTGTAGATTGATGAGGACGTAAAAAAATAAATAATACATTTAGAATAAGGCTGTAACGCGAAAAATGTGGAAAAAGGGAAGGGGTATGAATACTTTCCGAATGCACTGTATGCATGAGTTATTAATGTGTTATGTAGTTATTATGTAGGTACCTTTCAAGTAAAGTGTTACCCACTATAGTAAAGGGCCCCAGTAGAAAAACGACACAGCATTACATAAAAGCAGTTCCCATGGAAGTGACTTCAAGCTCAATCTCCCCGACCGCAAATAACACACACCACTTAAAGTGCTATCATCATACAACAGTCCCCACTAAGGATAAGTTCAATAGGAGGAGCAACACAACCAAGCCAAGGGTGTTCCCAGTTTGTGAAGCCGTACTTTCCCTCTGCTCCTCCTCCCCATCTTCCCCCTCCTCTTCCTCCTCTTCTTCCACCACCTTGTTCAGGCTGTCACACTTCTCCCCGGCGTGTCCCTCATAGCAGTGACAGCGAAACCTCTCGGCCAGTAGTTGGAGCTCGTGCTGCGAGTGCCAGCCGCTGACCACAAAGTCCCCTTCTCCCGAGGGCTGGATGTGGTAGCTGTCTCCGCTCAGGTGGAGGTAGTATGGGGCGTGGAGGTCCCTGCGGACACAGCGGCCATTGCTCTGGCACAGGAAGTCACTGCAGATCTCTGCAGCCCGCGTCACATTGGTGATGTACTGACCCAGGCGCTGGTTCAGGAAGGACTTCACCTTTGTGCAGTTGTGCTGGAGACGAGAGAGAGAGAGAGGGAGAGAGGGAGAGAGAGAGAGATGGAGAGAACGAGAGAGAGAGAGAGAGAGAGAGAGAGAGAGAGAGAGAGAGAGAGAGAGAGAGAGAGAGAGAGAGAGAGAGAGAGAGAGAGAGAGAGAGAGAGAAAAAACAAAGAGACAGTCAAACAAATAAGGGCATTGTGCAATCCACGATAATCCCTTATATACTTTAGAGATCGCTGCCCTATACTGTCATAACTATTCTCTGTGGTTTTTCAGCTATTGTCAACCAACTATTGTCTCCCTTATAGCACTGGTATGTCTTATGCCTGGATTTATAAAAGACTTAAAGCTCCAACTCAAGCGTCAAGAGAACCCAGTAAGCAAAATGAAGTTAAAAATACGTATTTTAGACATCTTTTCAGCATTTTAGGTGCTGAATGAAAGGTGAAAATACTTATTTTTCCAGGTGTCGAAAATATGTATTTTCCGGATGTCAAAAATACTTATTTTCCGGACGTTGAAAATACTTATTTAAAGTACTTAAGGACATAATTTACAGATGTTGAAATAAGTATTTTTCAGTCATTGATTCTGTGGCCAAATTTCAACTGCACATACATTGTCAATGAAGTAAGCATTATATCACAATAATAATTTATTAAGCCTCTTAAAATAGGAAAGATGAGCCAACTGAAGATTGCAACAGAATATGTATTGTTGCTGCCATCTATCAGATGCACTTATCTTAGATTTTTCAAAAGCTTTAAAACTGGCAGTGATGATGTTCAAAGTAGTCCAATCCATGGAATAAACTAACAGACCACGTTAACTACAATAACATTCTCAGTAACAGTTACATAATATTTTTTTCTTGCTATGACTTTCATATGTTGAATGCACTGACTGTAAGTCGCTCTGGATAAGAGCGTCTGCTGAATGGCCAAAATGTAAATGTAAAACAATTAACAATTGCAAAGCGTGCTGGGTATTATTCTAATGCACTCCACCCACAAACTTGGTCGGTGCGGACCAGATCCAAATCTGACTGAATCATAGACATCTAGGCTATGTTTCACAAGTTTGAACATCACAGTTTAAGGCACAGTTCACGTTTACATTTTAGCAGACGCTCTTATTCAGAGCAACTTACAGGAGCAATTAGGGTTCAGTGCCTTGCTCATCAACAGATTGTCTTGCACATTGACAGATGGTTCACCTAGTTGGCTCAGGGATGTGAACCAGCAACCTTTTGGTTACTGGCCCAACACTCTTAATGCTAGGCTACCTGCCTCCCACAGGTTTAGTGCAGTAGAGTACAGTTGAGTACAGTACAGTAGAGTTTAATTCAGTAGAGTAGAGTACAGGAGAGTACAGTACAGTACAGTATAGTTTAATTTAGTAGAGTACAGTACAGTACAGTATAGTTTAATTCAGTAGAGTACAGTACAGTATAGTTTAATTCAGTAGAGTACAGTACAGTATAGTATAGTTTAATTCAGTAGAGTAGAGTACAGGAGAGTACAGTACAGTACCGTATAGTTTCAATCAGTACAGTACAGTACAGTATAGTTTAATTCAGTAGAGTACAGTAGGGTGCAATACAGTACACTAGACTTTACTTTACTGTACCTTACTGTGCTCTACTGCACTGTAATGTAATGTACTCTACTTTTCATTACTGTACTGTGCTGTACTGTGCTGTCCGGACCTGACCAAATCTGAACCAATTATAGACGTCTATGTTTGGGCCAAATCAAGGCCGGTTCCGGGCCGGACCAAATCTGAACCAATTATAAACATCTGTTTCAACCAAATATAGGCCAGTCCGGACCGGACATCTGTGGACGTAGAAATCATGGCTGGTCTAGACCGGACAAAATCTGAAACAAACATAGACATCTATGTTTGGGCAAAATAAAGTTGGGACCAGAAATCTACGTCCTTGGATGCTGAAAACACGGCCGGTCCGAACAGGACCAAAAAATGACGTCCTAAAGATGTTGCCATCGGTAAATGCTTAGTGGAAAGAATGTTTGGAATATATTTAGGAATGCATGACATTTCTTCTCAAAGCCTCATTTTGAATGACAGATGTACACAGGCCTTGGAGGTGTTGACAGCAAAAATAAGTCAAAACAGAATGAAATAGATGTACAGCAGATGTTCAACTATTTTGCCCCTAGGGAGCACTTTATTTTCATAGCTTTATTTAAGGATTTGTTTTTGTCAGAGCTGTTCATTGCCCTAACGCCAGTATCTTTGTCTCTACTAGCTTGTGTAACACTTGGAAGGTCTAACTATAATTCTAATTATATAAGGTAACTATTAATATACAGTAAAGATGGAGAATCAGACTCACTCTGGATGAGGTGAGGTTGAGGTCTCCCCAGATCACAAAACCAGCAGCTCCAAGAGCAGCACTCTCCCCAATGGTGTGGATCAAGTCTTTCTGCAATACAAATACAGACACGCAGACAGGATAATTACACATCTTCCACTTATTTATGCAGCCACAAGATGGTGCTAATGTCTCCTCAGGAGAGGCAGGATTGTCTGCACACAACTGATGATACAGGACTCTAAATAGTGTTGACTGCTGAGAGGGAAAAATTTGTGTAGGTTAAAGAATGCCAACAAGAAATAGTTCCCAGTCAAACAAATTATGTCTAAACTGATCCTGTATGTAAAGAATTACAAAGTTTTGTAGTATCAATTAATAATCAGTGAATTACCAGTCCCATTGGGATCATGTAGGATGAAAAGCAATGTTTCGTTCTATCCCAACACACCTGATGGCCTTGATGATTAGTTGATTTGTTGAATCAAATGTGTTAGTGATGGGCTGGAACAAAATCCTGCACATCCTGTAGCTCTCCAGGATCAGATTGATAACCAACTGATCACATCATTTGATTTTAGACCTTTGGGTTACTAAGTGTGGCAGTCTTACCGTGGTGAGGAAGGCCATAGCCTCATCTCTGTAGCCCAGGCGTGTGTACACGAACGTGGGCAGCTCATAGCCGTGCGAGGTGAGCCCAGCTATCCTCAGAGACTCCAGCACCCTGAACTGGGAGAAATGGAGGTTGCTGACACTGTCTGTTTGGCTCTTCCTGATAGCCACTGAGGGGAACAGGGCTGTGCTGCTGTTCCACAACCAGAGCAGCTCGTCATTACGCAGGCTCTCCAGCAGGGGGCAGGAGCCTGTGTAGTTGTACTCATGCAGGTTGTAGTTGTGGCAGTCCGGATAGAGGTAGAAGCCCCAGAGACCGTTGGGGCGATGGCGCTTCCCTAGCTGGACCGTCTTTTGCATGAACGCCCGGGCACTCTTCTCAAAGTGTTTGCTCGCCAGCCCTTCGATTTGTGATGCCGTCACGTTGACATAGGCCTTTGTGATCAGCTCCCGGGACTTCCGCCGGTAAATGTCTTTCTTTTGCCAGTTGCGGCTCCACTGTGGGCGCCAGTACTCCCAGTCAATGACCGCCAGACCGGCAAAGTCCTCAGAGGGGATAAAATGGTTGATGTCCTTGTAGGCCTTGAGGAGGTGGTCCTCCAGGCTACAGTTTTGGGGTAGGCCTCCATTGATAGGGACGCCGTGGTCCGTGTAGAAAGGGTAGAGGCCCAGCCGGTTGGCATAGAAAATGGTGACATTCTGGCCAGTGTGGACGGCCCGCGGACTGCCACTGATGTGGAAGAGGCGCTCCAGGTTGGTGTGGACATTGTACTTTATAGTGCACAGGTCCAGCGGTGCGTTCCAGACAGCGATGAAGGGCTTGCGGCCAACCAGGGGCAGCTTGGCAGGCTTCTGGCTGAAGGCGGCATGAAAGAGTAGCAGGAGCCAGGAACAGGTGAGGGCGCAGGCCACAGGCACAGCGTGGTGAGGTTGGCCACTTCCGACGGGCACCATGAGCATCCTTGGGCTTGGGTCAACGGGAAGGGCCGTCAAACAACCTGAAGAGAGAAAAAGGAAGAGAGTAAGATAGTGAATGATATAGACAGAAGAAGGACATAGAGTGAAAGGGAGTGAGAGAGTGAACAATATAGAGGGATGACGGAGAGAGAAAGAGAGGGTGAGGAAGAGAGAGAGAGAAAGAGAGGCAGAGTGAGTGAGAGAAAAGGAGAAAAGAAGAGAGAGGACATTAGGGATTATAGATGAGGGGTCATTTTATCATATAGTGTTTCACAACAATGCTAATCGGCTTAGAGAATATCCCATACTGTGTACAACAATGTTAATCAGATTACAATATAGCCTTTACGACAATGCAGGTTGCGCACACCTGTGCTTAAAGTTTTCTGCTGTTAAGTTTGCTGCGAGTCAGTAAGCAAAAGTGAGTGAGTGAGCGAGTTTCTGTTTCTATTTGGTTCATTTATTAGCAATACACAAATAGATCAGACAACCTGCCCGCTCGACCCCATCCCCTCCTCCCTTCTCCAGACCATCTCTGGAGACCTCTCATTCCTCACCTCCCTCATCCCTGACCACTGGCTGCGTCCCCTCTGACTTCAAAATGGCCCGAGTCGCTCCCCTCCTCAAGAAACCAACACTCGACTCATCTGACGTCAAAAACTATAGACCTGTATCCCTTCTTCCTTTTCTTTCCAAAACACTTGGGTGTGCTGTCTCTGATCAACTTTCATGTTATCTTTCTCAGAACAATCTTCTTGACCCTAACCAGTCAGGCTTCAAGACGGGTCACTCAATTGAGACTGCTCTTCTCTATGTCACGGAGGCTCTTCGCACTGCCAAAGCTGACTCTCTCTCCTCTGTTCTCATCCTTCTAGATCTATCTGCTGCCTTCGACACTGTGAACCATCAAATCCTCCTCTCCTCCCTCTCAGGGCTGGGCGTCTCAGGCTCTGCACACTCTTGGCAGGCCGCTTCTACCAGGTGACGTGGAGAGGATCTGTGTCTGCACCACATACTCTCACTACTGGTGTCCCCCAGGGCTCGGTTCTACCACCTCAAGCTCAACCGCGACAAGACGGAGCTGCTCTTCCTCCCGGGGAAGGCCAGCCCGCTCAAAGACCTCTCAATCATGGTTGACAACTCCACAGTGTCGCCTTCCCAGAGTGCAAAGAACCTTGGTGTGACCCTGGACAACACACTGTCATTCTCTGCAAACATCAAAGCAGTGACTCGCTCCTGCAGGTTCATGCTCTACAACATCCGTAGAGTACGAGCCTACCTCACACAGGAACTGGCGCAGGTCCTAATCCAGGCACTTGTCCTCTCCCATCTGGACTACTGCAACTCGCTGTTGGCTGGGCTCCCCGCTGCAACTTATCCAGAACGCTGCAGCCCGCCTGGTTATCAACCTTCCCAAGTTCTCTCATGTCACCCCGCTCCTCTACACACTCCACTGGCTTCCAGTTGAAGCTGGCATCCACTACAAGACCATGGTGCTTACCTACAGAACAGCAAGAGGAACTGCCCCTCCCTACCTTCAGGCTATGCTCAAACCCTACACCCTAACCCGAGCACTCCGTTCTGCCACTTCAGGTCTCTTGGCCCTCCCACCCATACGGGAGGGCAGCTCCCACTCAGCCCAGTTCAAGCTCTTCTCTGTCCTTGCATCACAATGGTGGAACCAGCTTCCCCCTGAAGCTAGGACAGCAGAGTCCCTGCCCATATTCCGAAAACATCTGAAACACTACTTCTTCAAACAGTATCTTAAATAATCCTCCTCCTCAACTTGACGAGGTGAACCAGCACGTGCACTTGACCAAAGTGGTGTAAAGTACTTAAGTAAAAAAACTTTAAAGTACAACTTAAGTAGTTTTTGGGGGTATCTGTACTTGACTTTACTATTTATATTTTTGACAACTTTTACTTTTTAATCCATACATTTTCCCTGACACCCAAAAGTATTTGTTACATTTTGAATGCTTAGCAGGACAGGAAAATGGTCCAATTCACGCGCTTATCAAGAGAACATCCCTGGTCATCCCTACTGCCTCTGATCTGGTGGACTCACTCAACACACATGCTTCATTTGTAAATTATGTCTGGAGTGTTGGAGTGTGCCCCTGGCTTTCCGTAAATAAATAAAAAACAAGAAAATTGCCATCTGGTTTGCTTAATATAAGGAATTTTAAATGATTTGTACTTTTACTTTTACTTTGATACTTAAGTATATTTTAAACCAAATACTTTTAGACTTTTACTCAATAAGTATTTTACTGGGTGACTTACACTTTTACTTGAGTCATTTTCTATTAAGGGAGCTTTACTTTTACTCAAGTATGAAAATTAGTTACTTTTTCCACCACCACAAGAACTGCGACCATGCTGGGTTTTTCATGCTCAACAGTTTCCCATGTGTATCAAGAATGGTCCACCACCCAAAGGACATCCAGCCAACTTGACACAAATTTGGGAAGCATTGGAGTCAACATGGTCCAGCATCCCTGTGGAACGCTTTTGACACCTTGTAGAGTCCATGCCCCGATTAATTGAGGCTGTTCTTAGGGCAAAAAGGTGGGGGTGCAACTCAATATTAGGAAGGTGTTCCTAATGTTTAGTATACTCTGTGTATGTTTAAAATGCAGTACAGAGTTAATGGAATTAATAGTAACATTACATGATAACTTCATATCATGCTTCTTAAGTAATATAAAACAATGTCTTTCTGTACAGTTTCTTGCCTTGCGCTTATAGATGGATAAGTCAACCCCCAAGCCACAGGCAGTACTAGTGTCACCTGCTGTCTGAACACCCCAGGCCACACTCTAAATCAACCGTCTTACCTTGGTCTTGGGTTGAAAATAGTTTGATCCAAATATCCAAAGAACACACTAAAGTCCTCTTCTGAAGTTTCACCCTAAATGTATTTTGTACTCTGAGACCATAAGTTAAGTGGTTCCGTCATCTCCTTTACCTCCTATAGTTAAACAGCTATGAACAAAAGTAACTTGTGTTTGAATTGGGCGTATCCATCAAATGTGTGAGTGGTTCTACATTCTGGGTTGTGTGTTTAACTTTCACTGTTACTCAGCTCAAGCATACTGAAAGATCAACAAGTCACACTAACACGTACACACAGGCACTTTGTGTTACCACAGAAACATCCTTCCTTCCACCTTTCTCTCCTCTCAGTTTCAGAAGTTTCAATCAAACCTGTGCTCCAAAAGTTAATAGGGGGTAGGAGCTATGGGTTGATTTGAGATTGGGTGATGGTTGTATCCTTGATGTACGGGTACACCAAATTTACATTGACATTTAATTCCCCCATCGACATCAATGTATGGTGTCATGATTTCAGCGAGTGCTGCAAACTACTTTTAGACTGTCATTTGTTCCTGCCATCACAAGTGTTTTTCTTTGCCATTACTTCCCCGTAGTGAAAAAGAGCTGCTTTTGAATGTTAAAGACAGCCTTTGCTACAGTTGTAATTCAGCAGTATATATTGTCTGGCACTTAAATGTCTTTCCTTTTCAGCTGATGAGGGAAACCACTTCCTCTCACTTTCTCTAAATGATGTCTGAAATCATTCAGGGAGGACGAGGATCAATGTAGACTCCTGATTCAGTCTGTTCAGGGATTAGTGGTGTGTGGGGGGGGGGGGAGTAACCGGGTGGTAGCCGGCTAGTGATGGCTATTTAACAGTCTGATGGCCTTGAGAAAGAAGCTGTTTTTCAGTCTCTCAGTCCCAGCTTTGATGCACCTGTACTGACCTCGCCTTCTGGATGATAGCGGGGTGAACAGGCCATGGCTCGAGTGGATGATGTCCTTGATGATCTTTTGGCCTTCCTGTGACATCGGGTGCTGTAGGTGTCCTGGAGGGCAGGCAGTGTGCCCCCGGTGATGCATTGGGCAGAACGCACCACCCTCTGGAGAGCCCTGCGGATGCAGGCGGTGCAGTTGCCGTACCAGGCGGTGATACAACCCGACAGGATGCTCTCAATTGTGCATCTGTAAAAGTTTGTGAGGGTCTTAGGGGCCAAGATGAATTTATTCAGCCTCCCGAGGTTGAAGAGGCGATGTTGCGCCTTCTTCACCACACTGTCTGTGTGGGTGGACCATTTCAGATTGTCAGTGATGTGTACGCCGAGCAACTTGAAGCTTTCCACCTTCTCCACTGCGGTCCCGTCGATGTGGATACAGGCGTGCTCCCTGTTTCCTGAAGTCCACGATCAGCTCCTTTGTTTTGTTGATGGTGAGACAGAGGTTATTTTCCTGGCACCACTCCGCCAGGGCCCTCACCTCTTCCCTGTAGGCTGTCTCGTCATTGTTGGTTATCAGGCCTACTACTGTTGTGTCGTCTGCAAACTTGATAATTGAGTTGGAGGCTTGCATGGCCACGCAGTCATGGGTGAACAGGGAGTACAGGATGGGGCTGAGCACACACCCTTGTGGGCCCCCTGTGTTGAGGATCAGCGAAGTGGAGGTGTTGTTTCCTACCTTCACCACCTGGGGGCAGCCCGTCAGGAAGTCCAGGACCCAGTTGCACAGGGCGGGGTTCAGACCCAGGGCCCTGAGCTTAATGATGAGCTTGGAGGGTACTATAGTGTTGAAGGCTGAGCTATAGTCAATGAACAGCATTCTTACGTAGGTATTCCTCTTGTCCAGATGGGATAGGGCAGTGTGCAGTGCAATGGCAATTGCATAATCTGTGGATTGAAAAAAAAGATCTGGCCTGTACTCTCATAATCTCTACCGGGCACAGCCAAAAGAGTGCTGGCCACCCGTCAGAGCCTGGTTCCTCTCTAGGTTTTTTCCTAGCCACTGTGCTTCTACATTTGCATTGCTTGCTCTTTGGGGTTTTAGGCTGTGTTTCTGTATAAGCACTTTGTGACATCTGCTGATGTAAAAAGGGATTTATAAATAAATTGAGAGAGAGAGAGAGAGAGAGAGAGAGAGAGAGAGAGAGAGAGAGAGAGAGAGAGAGAGAGAGAGAGAGAGAGAGGAGAGAGAGAGAGAGAGAGAGAGAGAGAGAGAGAGAGAGAGAGAGCACA